CACCGGTGCCACCAGACACAACGCCGGAAGTATGGGGGTGGGCTCAATGGACCTCTCCTCTATGTCATACAGTCGGGACAGGTGTCTGCCTTAGCGTTCTGGGAACCTGGTCTGTAAGAAAGAGTAAACACAAAATGAGTGAAGAACATGGCCCACCTTGCCTGGCGAGGGTTCAATCTCCTCGCCGCCCGGATGTACTCCAGACTGCGGTGGTCAGTCAAAATGAGAAATGGGTGTTTAGCCCCCTCAAGCCAATGCCTCCTCACTTTCAGAGCTTTAACTACAGCTAACAGCTCCCGGTCCCCCACATCATAGTTGCGCTCTGCCGGGCTAAGCTTCTTCAAAAAAGAAAGCACAGGGGCGGAGCTTTGGTGGCGTACCCGAGCGCTGAAACAGTACAGCTCCTATCCCAGCCTCGGACGCGTCCACCTCAACCTGGAATACTAAGGAGGGATCCGGATGAGCCAGCACTGGAGCCGAGGTAAACAGGTCCAGGTGACCAAAAGCCCTGTCCGCCTCAGCTGACCACTACAGTCGCACCGGTCCCCCCTTCAGCAAGGAGGTAATGGGAGCCGTTACCTGACAAAAGCCCCGGATAAACCTCCGGTAGTAGTTGGCAAAACCCAAGAATCGCTGCACCTCCTTCACCGTGGTTGGAGTCGGCCAATTACGCACGGCCAAAATGCGGTCAATCTCCATCTCCACACCTGACGTGGACAGGCGGTGCCCTAGGAAGGAGATGGAATCTTGGATGAACAGACATTTCTCCACCTTCACATACAGGTCATGCTCCAACAGTCGACCAAGCACCTGACGCACCAGGGACACATGCTCGGCCTGTGTAGCGGAGTATATGAGAATGTCATCAATATACACCACTACACCCTGTCCGTGCAGGTCCCTGAAAATCTCATCAACAAAGGATTGGAAGACTGATGGAGCATTCATCAACCCGTATGGCATGACGAGGTACTCATAGTGCCCAGAGGTGGTACTGAATGCTGTCTTCCACTCATCTCCCTCCCGGATACGCACCAGGTTGTACGCGCTCCTGAGATCCAATTTAGTGAAGAAGCGCGCCCCGTGCAATGACTCCGTCATACTAGCAATCAGAGATAGTGGATAGCTGTACTTCACAGTGATCTGATTAAGACCACGGTAGTCAATGCACGGGCGTAAGCCACCATCCTTCTTCTTCACAAAAAAGAAACTCGAGGAGACAGGGGAAGTGGAAGGCCGAATGTATTCCTGCCCCAGAGATTCGGTGACATATGTTTCCATAGCCGCCGTCTCCTCCTGTGACAGAGGATACACGTGACTCCGGGGAAGTGCAGTGCCTACCTGGAGGTTTATCGCACAATCCCCCTGTCGATGGGGTGGTAATTGAGTTGCCTTCTTTTTACAGAAGGCGAGAGCCAAATCGGCATATTCAGGCGGAATATGCATAGTGGAAACCTGGTTTGGACTTTCCACCGTAGTTGCCCCTACGGAAACACCTACACACCTCCCCGAGCACTGACTTGACCATCCCTTGAGAGCCCTCTGTTGCCATGAAATAGTGGGGTCATGAGAGGTTAACCAGGGAAGCCCCAACACCACTGGAAATGCAGGAGAATCAAATCAGATAGAGACTAATTTTCTCCTCATGACCCTCCTGCATCTTCATCCAGAGTGGAGCTGTGACCTCCCTAATCAGACCTGACCCTAAAGGGCGACTATCTAGGGCATGTACAGGGAAGGGCACATCAACAGGCACAATAGGAATCCCTAAAATACGGGAAAACTGACGATCAATAAAGTTCCCAGCTGCGCCTGAATCTACTAGCGCCTTATGCTGGGAATGAGGGGAAAACTCTGGAAATACAACATCTATGCACATATGCGCAACAGGGAGCTCTGTGTGAGTCGGGTGCCTACTCACCTGAAACGGTCCACCAGTGCTCTGCCTACTGCCTCAACTCCTTAAAGACCCTCCCCAGCACCGACCAGCAGTGTGTCCTCTGCGGCCACAGTTGGTGCAGGGGACGGCCCCTCTACCGGTCTCCCTAAGAGCAGCACCTCCGAGCTCCAGAGGGGTAGGGTCGGAGGTGCTGGGGGATGGAATGGACGGCCCCTGATCCGGATGTCCACGGGTGGCCAACAGGTTATCCAGCCTGATTGACATATCCACCAGTTGGTCCAGGTTAAGGTTGGTGTCCCTGCAGGCCAGTTCCCGACAGATGTCCTCCCTCAGGCTGCATCGGTAGTGGTCGATAAGGGCCCTCTCATTCCATCCTACGCTGGCAGCCAGAGTCCTAAAGTCCAGTGCAAAATCCTGTGCGCTCCTCTTCCCCTGTCTGAGGTGGAATAGACGTTCGCCCGCCGCTCTCCCCTCCGGTGGATGATCGAATACCGCCCGAAAGCGGCGGGTAAACTCCTCATAACGAACAGATGCTGCGTCTATTCCTCCCCACTCGGCGTTGGCCCACTCAAGCGCTTTCCCGGACAGACAGGAGATGAGGGCGGACACGCTCTCGTATCCCGAGGGAGCCGGGTGGATGGTTGCCAGGTATAGCTCTACCTGGAGCAGAAAACCCTGACACCCGGCAGCTGTACCGTCGTATGCCCTCGGGAGCGAGAGCCGAATCCCACTGGACCCAGGTGGTGAAAAGGTGGACAGCGGTGTGGGTGGTGGTGTAGTTGGAGGAGGTATAGGAAAACCTCCTCTCTCCCATCGCTCCATAGTATTCACCACGCGTTCCATTGCGGTGCCGAGAGCCTGGCTCATGGTCGCTTGTTGTTGGACACATTCCTCCATCGATCCGGCTGGCATGGCTGTACCTGCTGACTCCATTATTGGTGCGTGTTTCTGTCAAGGGTAATGCGGTAGGACGAAGTCAGGCGCAGGACACAGAGCTAATTGAAAAACATACTTTACTCGTAGGTATCTTAATGAACATACCTCCACGCAGGGAGGAACAAACCCGCTCACATATGACAACCAAAACATGAACAAACATGCACAACACACAGTGTGAGCCAGAGGGTTAAATAGGAAAGACATAATTACATGATGGAAAACAGGTGAAACCAATACAGACAAAACAAGTAGAACATAGAAACATGGATCGGTAGCAGCTAGTACTCCGGTGACGATGAACGCCGAAGCCTGCCCGAGCAAGGAGGAGAGGCAGCCTCGGCTGAATTCGTGACACACACATTTTCTATAGGATTGAGGTCAGGGCTTTGTGATGGCAACTCCAATACCTTGACTTTGTTGTCCTTCAGCCATTTTGCCACAACTTTGAAAGTATGCTTGGGGTCATTGTCCATTTGGAAGACCCATTTGTGACCAAGCTTTAACTTCCTCACTGATGTCTTGAGATGTTGCTTCAATATATCCACTTAATTTCCCTTCCTCATGTTGCCATCTATTTTGTGAAGTGCACCAGTCCCTCCTACAGCAAAGCACCCCCACAGCATGATGCTGCCACCCCCGTGTTTCACGGTTGGGATGGTGTTCTTCGGCTTGCAAGTCATCCCCTTTTTCCTCCAACGATGGTCATTATGGCCAAACAGTTCTATTTTTGTTTCATCAGACCAGAGGATATTTCTCCAAAAAGTACGATCTTTGTCCCCATGTGCAGTTGCAAACCGTAGTCTGGCTTCTTTATGGCAGTTTTGGAGCAGTGGCTTCTTCCTTGCTGAGCGGCCTTTCAGGTTATGTCGATATAGGACTCGTTTTACTGTGGATATAGATACTTGAAATACATCCACAGGTACACCTCCAATTGACTCAAATGATGTAAATTAGCCTATCAGAAGCTTCTAAAGCCATGCTTTCATTTTCTGGAATTTTCCAAGCTGTTTAAAGGCACAGTCAACTTAGTGTATGTAAACTTCTGACCCACAGGAATTGTGACACAGTGAATGATAAGTGAAATAATCTGTCTGTAAACAATTGTTGGAAAAATTACTTGTGTCATGCACAAAGTAGATGACCTAACCGACTTGCCAAAACTATAGTTTGTTAACAAGACATTTGTGGAGTGGTTGAAAAACGAGTTTGAATGACTCCAACCTAAGTGTATGTAAACTTCCGACTTCAACTATACCTCAACCGAGCTACACTCATCTCACATGAAACAATCACCCACAAGGACAAGGGGGCAGAGGGAACACTTATACATGTACTAATGAGGGGAATATGAACCAGGTGTGTGTAACTGACAAGACAAGACAAATGGAATGATGAGATATGGAGCGGCAGTGGCTAGAAGGCCGGTGACGACGAACGCCGAAGCCTGCCCGAACAAGGAGGAGAGGCAGCTTCGGAGGAAGTCGTGACAGCGAGTTATCATTAATTCAATTTGTGCCCCCACCATAATGTCTCTTTATAATTTTTCAGACTTTCAAATGACTGCTGCGGAAGAAGAAGAAGAAGAAGAAGAAGAAGAAGAAGAAGAAGAAGAAGAAGGTAGATAGAGGACAAAGTTCTCTTCAGTCAGCCTTCTTCTTCACCTTTTTTTCTCTCTCTCTTCACAATCCTCTCCGAAGGATCTGTTTCTGTTTCTGCAGTCTCTCTGATCCGGCAGTAATATAAGGTAGGTCTTATGCAACCATGCGTAAGCCGCAGATTAAAACTACAGGCTTGATGTGATGAGCTCCTTTCCTTACTATCCATTATAGATGGTCATTTCACACAAGCCATCTCCTTGCCTGACTGTGTGCATATCATGCCCTTTGATCTCTTTAAGATATATAGATAAGAGATGACTGCGGTTGGGGTTGAGAAGAAGAGGGGGTTTGAAGAAGCTAATGATGAACAAAGCTAGTTCATTATTTTTATTTTTTTAATGGTGCCTGGTTTATGATCTGGTCGGAAAAGCATAGGTAGATTAGACACCCCATTGAGATGCGGGGTGTCCCCCCTTTGAGTTCTCAACCGTAGTTTCTTCTCTCACTTTTTCCCTCTAATACAGCGCATGTACAGATATGTCGAACGCTGGTCTTCAAATATATCACAGGTTCTCATGCACATGCTTCAGATAGTCCTTGTTGATAATGAAGGCCTCCACATGCGCCATCTTGCCCTTGTCGGGCAGGACCACCATCATGGAGGAGTTGCCTTTGTAAGGCAGCATGACCACGATGGTGAAGTTATCCTGGTACAACTCATAAAGACCCGTCCTCTTCATCATGTTAACATTGACCTTGGTGTTCTCGTCCACCTGGAAGTCAGACTTGTGGGTCTGCGTGACATTGAATAACTTATCCAACTTCCTTGGGGAGATAGAGGAAATTGTTACTAAGGGGTAATTAACACGGGGAAGTCGAAAAATAATAAATGTTACAAGCCTAATTCTTTTTTGTTTTTTTGTTATTTTGTCCTGCACATACATTTTCTTTTAATTCTTTATTGACACATATTCTGTTTACCATGTGTGGAAACCAGACAATGAGTCAGTCAGTCAGTCAAGTCTATTCTATCATTGTTCTAAAAGCAAACAATAAGTGCACGACCGTTCTGTCCTACTACAGTGTCCTCCTACCTCTGAAGAAGACGTAGTTGATGAGCACCATGGCCGTATCAGGGTCCAGATCCTTCACCAGGTCCGTGATCTTTTCCTGGGTCTTAATGGCGATGAACTTGTTGATCTCAGTGGCGGCCTCTGCGGGGTTCTTGAAGTCAACGGTGAAGCCCTCGCTGGCATAGAAGTGCTTGGCATCCTCCAGGAACTTGGCCAAGGGCTTGAAGCCATCCCTCAGGCCCACGGCACTGCCCATGTCCAGCTGCATGGCCTCCCCAGCATGGCCCAGCATGTGTTGCAGGTGCTCGTAGGCCTCGTTCACCTGCTCCGGTGCAGCGGTACCATGAAGACCAAGGAGCTCTCCAAACAGGTCAGGGACAAAGTTGTGGAGAAGTATAGATCAGGGTTGGGTTATAAAAAAATATCAGAAACTTTGAACATCCCACGGAGCACCATTAAATCCATTATTAAAAAATTGAAAGAATATGTCACCACAACAAACCTGCCAAGAGAGGGCCGCCCACCAAAACTCACGGACCAGGCAAGGAGGGCATTAATCAGAGAGGCAACAAAGAGACCTAAGATAACCCAGAAGGAGCTGCAAAGCTACACAGCGGAGATTGGAGTATCTGTCCATAGGACCACCTAAAGCCGTACACTCCACAGAGCTAGGCTTTACGGAAGAGTGGCCAAATACGTTTGGTGTTCGCCAAAAGCCATGTGGGAGACTCCCCAAACGTATGGAAGGTACTCTGGTCAGTGAGACTAAAATTGAGCTTTTTTGCCATCAAGGAAAATTCTATGTCTGGCGCAAACCAAACACCTCTCATCACCCCGAGAACACCATCCCCACAGTGAAGCATGGTGGTGGCAGCATCATGCTGTGTGGATATTTTTCATCGGCAGGGACTGGGAAACTGGTCAGAATTGAAGGAATGATGGATGGCACTAAATACAGGGAAAATCTTGAGGAAAACCTGTTTCAGTCTTCTAGAGATTTGAGACTGGGATGGAGGTTCACCTTCCAGCAGGACAATGACCCTAAGCATACTGCTAAATCAATACTCGAGTACTTTAAGGGGAAACATTTAAATGTCTTGGAATGGCCAAGTCAAAGCCCAGACCTCAATCCAATTGAGAATATGTGGTATGACTTAAAGATTGTTGTACACCAGCGGAACCCATCCAACTTGAAGGAGCTGGAGCAGTTTTGCCTTGCCTTGAAGAATGGGCAAAAATCCCAGTGTCTAGATGTGCCAAGCTTGTAGAGACATAAACCAAGAGACTTGCAGCTGTAATTGCTGCAAAAGGTGGCTCTACAAAGTATTGACTTTGGGGGGGTGAATAGTTTTGCATGCTCAAGTTTTCTGTTTTTTTGTCTTATTTCTTGTTTGTTTCACAACAAATAATATTTTGCATCTTCAAAGTGGTAGGCATGTTTTGTAAATCAAATGATACAAGCCCCCCAAAAAATCTATTTTAATTCCAGGTTGTAAGGCAACAAAATACGAAAAATGCCAAGGGGGGTGAATACTTTCGCAAGCCACTGTAGATAAATGAGCCATATTGTCACGTCTCCTCCCATTGCTCCCCTCCAGCGTTCTGATTTGCCGGTCTACTGAGCCACCGGTCTGAGCGCACCACCTCTGCAACACAGGAATGGAAACCCAACGCACCCTAATCACCTCCAGCGCACCTGCACCTCATCATCTCATCACCACCACTATATAGCCCTGGACTGTTCAGTCATTGTTCTGTGTAATTTTTAGCGTCGTGTCATTTACTCGCTCCTTGTTATTCTCTTTCTCATTGTTAAGTAAACCTTTACCTTGTTGATTCCTGCGTCTTTGTCCTGCCTCTTCATATCCTCAGTACTCATCACAGAACTACACACCTCTCACGAAAATGGATGCAGCAGGTAATCCTCCTGGAGTTTCCCACCGCCTCGACCAGCACCAGCAGCAGCTTGCCCAGTTGAACACCGCCATGCAGGAAGTGCTCCAAACTCTGCATAACCTGCCCGGCGCTCCGGTTCCACCTCAGGGAGCGGCGAGTGCACCCAGTCCACCTGTTCCCATGCTATCACCACTTCTGAGGAACCCTCGCCCTACCGGAGCGCTATGATGGTAAAACTACTAAATGTAGCGGCTACTTTCTACAGGTTTCACTTTATCTGGCGCATCAGCCTGGGGCATATCCATCTGACAAGCCAGGATAGCACTGGTGATTTTGCTACTTAAAGGAAAGGCGCTGGATTGGGCCACGGCAGCCTGGGAAGGAGGTGAGGCCGCGGCGCTTCCCTACTCCACCTTCCTCGCTCGGTTCAGGGCGGTGTTTGATCATCCCACGGAGGGAAAGGACGGGGGTGAGCGTCTCCACCAGCTACAACAGGGAGAGGGTCCTGCGTCCGCATATGCTCTGAGCTTTCGCACGGTGGCGGCGTCTTCCGGCTGGAATGAGTGTGCTCTGAGCACGGCCTTCAGGAGAGGCTTACGGAAGGACATCAAGATGGAACTCGCATGTCGGGACGACGAGATGGACCTTGATACCCTCATCGCCACGTCCATTCGTCTTGACGACATGTTGAGAGACAGACGGAAGTTCCCAAAACCTCCCGGAGCCTCAAACGCTCACCCCATCTGAGCTATGGAAGCCGCCCTGCCTCCAAGTCCTCACCCATGGAGGTGGGCAGCACCCCCTACACTTCCACGGACCACAGATATCCTGGTGGCTCCCAGTCTAGGCAGTATGACTCCCGTCGCCGCTCCATGAGTGTTACGTCATCTCCTATCACAAAACCATTGTTTTTAGTTCCCATGACAATGACTGGTTATTACTTCTCTTCCATTTCCACTGCAATGATAGATTCCGGATCAGCGGGGAACCTTATAGATAGGGAGCTGGTCTCTGAATGGGGGTTGCCCACCATGCCATTGCCTCTCCACTACACGTCACCTCGCGGGACAATAAACCACTTGGATCAGGCACCGTTACGCACGTCACTCTCCCCATCACCATTCCCACACTACCGGAGCACCACGAGGAGCTGTCATTCCACATCGTCACGTCACCATCAAGGGCCTACAGAGCTTCCTGGGTTTCGCCAATTTCTACCGGCGTTTCATCAGGTCCTTCAGCTCCATAGCCGCCCCGCTCACCTTTCTCCTTAAGGGTGGGCCTCAGAAGCTGGCCTGGAACCCTGAGGCTGACGCTGCCTTCAAGAGGCTGAAGGAGATGTTCACCACAGCGCCCGTTCTAAAACACCCAGATCCATCTTGTCCTTTCATCCTGGAGGTGGACGCATCTGAGGAGGACGTGGGTGCGGTCCTCTCCCAGCGGAAAGGTAAGCCAGAGAAAATGTATCCATGTGCCTTTTTCTCTAAAATGCTTACCCCCACAGAGAGGAACTATGGAGTTGGAGACAGGGAGCTGTTGACGGTGGTCCTCGCTCTGGAGGAATGGAGACACTGGCTGGAGGGCGCAGTCCATCCATTCCGGATTCTTACTGACCACCGGAATTTGGAGCACATACGGGCAGTAAAACGGATGAACTCTTGCCAAGCCAGGTGGGCCCAATTTCTTACTAGCTTTCAATTTATTCTTTCGTACCGCCCAGGATCCCAGAATGTGACAGCCGACGCACTCTCCAGGATGCACCATACCGTAGAAAGGAAGGATCTGGGGGTCCTATCCTGCCCCCGTCTTTCATCGTTGCACCTGTCATTTGGGATGTGGACGAAGACATCCGCCTGGCGGCTCAAGAGGACCCAGCGTCTGCCAACGCCCCTCCGGGGCGTGTGTATGTACCCACCAGTGTCCGTGACCGCCTGCTGATCTGGTAGCACACCACCCTTACGGCCGGGCACTCCGGTATTACGCGCACCCTGCATTCTCTATCACAAAAATACTGGTGGCCCACCTTGGCTACTGATGTCTGTCGCTATGTCAACTCCTGTTCCGTATGTGCCCAAACAAAGACACCTCGGAATGCCCCGGCAGGCAAACTACTTCCTCTCCCAATGCCTCAGCGACCTTGGTCACACCTGTCCATAGACTTTGTCACCGACCTCCCACGTTCTGACGGCTTCACCACAGTCATGGTGGTCGAAGATCGGTTCTCAAAATCATGCAGTTTTTTGCCACTAACTGGTCTTCCTTCTGCTCTCCAGGTTGCTGAGGTCCTGTTCCAACAGGTCTTCTGGCACTATGGACTTCCGAAGGACGTTGTCTCGGACCTTGGCCCCCAATTCACCTCCCGAGTGTGGAAGGCTTTCCTGGAGAAGATCGGGGCCACGGCCTCACTTCCAGCTATAGGCCTCAGTCAAATGGGCAGGTGGAGCGCATGAACCAGGAGCTGGATAGGTTTCTTCGTTGACACTGTCAGGACCGACAGGGTGAGTGGGCAAGGTTTCTTCCCTGGGCAGAATATGCCCAGAACTCCCTCGTTCACTCCTCCACGGGGCTCACTCATTTCCAGTGCGTCCTGGGGTACCAGCCGGCCCTGGCCCCTTGGACATCCAGCCAGACCGATGCACCCACTAACGACGAGTGGTTCCGCAGGGCCGGACATGTCTGGGACGCCGCCCATGTCCGTCTCCAGAGGGCCATTCATCGGAAGAAGTACCAAGCTGACCGCCACCGCAGTGAGGCTCCCATATTCCAGCCTGGTGATCACGTTTGGCTGTCCACTCGAAACCTCCCTCTCCACCTGCCCTACAAGAAACTGTGCCCCCAGTTTGTGGGGCCGTTAATGGTCCTCTGGCGGATTAATGAGGTGTCGTACCAGCTGCTCCTTCCCCCTCACTACCGTGTCTCACCTACTTTTCATGTGTCCGGTGGTTCCTGGTACTCTGGCGGATGCCATCCCCCGGGGTACGCCCCCTCCGCCGCTGGACATTGACGGGAGTCCGGCGTACTGTATGCTGTGATGGACCTGCTGGACTCCAGGTTCCGTGGGGGACGGCTCCGTTACCTGGTGGACTGGGAGGGGTATGTCCCTGAGGGGAGGAGCTGGGTTCCGGCTGAGGACGTTCTGGGCCCCAACCTAATTTGGGACTTCCAACGTCGCCACCCTGACCGGCCCGCTCCTCGTCCACGGGGTCGTCCTCATGGACTGGGACGTCCTGCGGCGGGAGCCGCGCGTCCGGGGGGGGGGGTACTGTCACATCTTCTCCTGTTGCTCCCCTCCGGCGCTCTGATTCACCGGTCTACTGAGCCACTGGTCTGAGCACACCACCTCAGCAACACAGGAATGGAAACCCAACGCAC